TCGAATTCTTTCCTTTCCTTCCCTGTATTTTTACTTTCTCTCCTTTCCTTTCTCCCCCACTCCTCTGCTTTGGCAAGGGGAAGTTGCTGATGTCTCAATTTACTACTCCCCATTGCTTATCAAGCAAATAATCTAAGTTCCTTGAAGAAAATTAGACTGTCGCTCCCCGTCTTCATGGGGGAACGACACTAAACCCTGCCTAGGCTTCATATCCAAGTCACGGCACCATTATGTCGCTCCCCCTCTTCGTGGAGGAACGACACAGGACCCTGCGCTGTTCTTTTGTCTGCTCGGCCCTCCCCGGGTTTGCTGCTGGTTCTTCCCGGGTTGGCTGCCGTCCCTCCACCTCCGTGGAAGGGTGGTTCCCCCTGGCCACCTTCCCCACTTCCGCAGGGGAGCGGCACACCACCGGCCGGCTCTCTCGGGGGCTGCACAGGTGTTCCTTCAGATAGATGTTCCCCTTAGATGTTCCTGGTGCATGTTGTCTCTCTCCTCCTTTATAGTCCTCCTCCGCCAATCCCAACTCGGCTGCCCACACGCCGAGTACGCTGCTCTCCTCCAATCAGGAGCAGGATCAGCTCCTGGAGGTCATCACTCAAGTTGGCAAGAGGCAGCTGCGTAGAAGCTGTTTTCTCCTCTCCCAGCGCCATATTGTGGGAGAGCAGATGCATAGAATAAGTCTTAATTCCAGTAACAGTATAGTCCGAGTTGCTCCCCACATAGACAATACACATAGGCTTAAAAAAAGTTCCACCTCACAGAGACAATTAACATTTGTAGGTATCTATTCCTCTATTAAGGGAAACGTAACCATGTAGTTAGCACACATTGGCTGTGTGACCTTGAATGAGACACATACTGGCTATGTCACCTTGAACTAGTTGCTTCACCTCTTCAGGCCTCCGTTTTTACATCTGTGAAACAAGAATAAATTGTATTTTTATTTCTATTATTGTGATAGTCTATATTTTTATATCAAGTTTAAATAACATGATGTATATATAGTATGGTACCCAAAACAGAATAGCTTTTCAATAAATGGTAGGTGTTATTAGTTTACAAATGTTTTGTCAAATGTAAGCTCAGGGCAGGCACTATGGCATAATGAGTTAAGCCTCTACCTATGGGGCTGACATCCCATATGGGTTCCAGTTTGAGTCCCAGCTGCTCCAATTCTGATCCAGCTCTCTGCTATGGCCTGGGAAAGCAGTGGAAGATGGCCCAAACACTTGGGCCCCTGCAACCACATGGGAGACCCAGAAGATGCTCCTGGCTCCTGGCTTCATATTGGCCCAGCTCTGGTCATTATAGCCATCTAGGGAGTAAACCAGCAGATGGAAGACCTTTATGTCTATCCATTTCTGTCTGTAACTCTACCTCTCAAATAAATAAATAAAATATTTTTTTAAATGTGAGCTCATACAAACTCCAATATGTGTTTCTGGTGTTTTGACAACAAAATACAGAACTCTTTGTAATGGAATATATACCTGTATTATCATTTTTGGTGTTAATTTCTTTCTATTGACAGCATTTTTATTCTGGAATATAATGAGAACAAATATATGTTAAGGAAGAAAGAACATCATATATCACCACTAGACATCCTTTCAGCATTGTCATTTCCCTAGAAATCATCACAATTTTTTTTATTTCAGTCACAGATGAAAATGGGGCCACTTCAAAATAAAACCATGAAGCCAAAGATATCTTTGGCAGCCCTTTATTATTGTGAGCGTGAACAACTGAAACCAGATGCACCCTCCGTGGCTAGGACTGATCTCAAGACCTAATCAGCTCTGAGGAACAATGTAAGCTAAATATAGCACTGATCACTAAAATGTGCATCGAAGGTGTTGTTTGCTTCACTTTATTCGGTCAGTTTCTTCTTTCAGCATCCTCTGCTCTACTTGGGGAAATGATGTTGTTTTGGCCAGTGTTGTCTGTGTTGCTCAGGAGCAGAGCTAGGCTTGCATTGGCTTTCCTAATTGAGAAGGAAGAACCCAGGAAATAGCATAGAAAATATAAAAATTTCTATTTCCTCTTAGAAAACAAAACCCTGGAAATAAATTCAGGGGTATAATCAATGCAACACAGAGAAGGTATTGAGTTCTTGGGTGTCTGACTAGATATCGCCTGGAGAAAAGGCTAGGGGGTCTGATTATTTGGAAACACATATATGCATATATATCCTTTTAGGTACCCTAAATACTAGTGTTAATAACCCTTTGCACTGTGACATATGATATAGTTCACAAGTAGTTTATGTTTCTCAAGATATTTTCATTTAACATTCTTTATTATTAAAATAGCCCATGGGTGAGCATTTGGCACAGTGGTTAATACACCACTGGGATACCTGCATCCCGTATCAGAGTGCCTGAGTTCAAGTCCTGGATCCACTTCTGCTTTCAGCTCTCTGTTAATATACATCATGGTAGGCATCAGATGAAGACTCATATACCTGGGTCCCTGGCACACATGCAGGAGACTTTGATTGATTACTGGGCTCCTGGCCTTGGCCTGGCCTAGCTCTAACTGTTGTGGGCATTTGGGGAGTAAATCAACGAATGCAAAAACCTCTCTCTCTCTCTCTCTCTCTCTCTCTCTCTCTTTCTCTTTCTCCTTCTGTTTCTCTTTCTCTTTCTCTTTCTCTTTCTCCCATCCCTCCCTCCCTCCATCCATCCATCCCTCCAACCCTCCCCCTTCAAATAAAAAGTAATAAAATACAATAGTCCATGATATATAGGAACCAATTAAAGGAACCTTGAAGATATAAATTGTTTTGTCAGTTGCTAGTCCACTTCATCTTTTAGAAGTCCCCCGTGGGGCCTGCTAGCCCAGGAGCTGGCATTATAGGCCATGATAGATACCTGTTGAACTGACGTACAGTAAGTTACCACCAAGTGTGGCATAAAGTTCTATATTTAGTGTACAGGATATACGGGAAAAGCATCTTCAAAGTACCCTTCAGAATGCAGCACACTGAGTCACTGACTGTCAAGTACCAAACACTGCATAGGAGTTTAGCCAGCTGATCTCATTTCATCCCCTTGGATTCCTATAAGCAGGCTTTTCTGGGGGGAACTGAGGCCTAGAAATGTCGTATCGCTTACCTAGGAGTCACACAGCGAACAGCTGGCAGAGACTGACACTTAACTACCTCTCCCTGCTGTAGAGCTCATCCTATAGCTGCCCATGGGCCATCACTCACCATCATTCTCCATTTCTGCAACACTTCTCACCAATCCCTAAGCAACCATTACATTACTTTCTGGATCTATAGATTTGCCTATTCAGGACATCTCAATTAAATGAAATCATGGAACACATGATCATTTGTCATTTGCTTCTTTCACTGAGCATACTATTTCCAAAGTTTGTTCATGTTGTAGCACATATTAGTACTTCATTAATTTTTGTTTCTGAATATTATTCAATTATTTGGATATACCACATTTTATTTATCTAATCATCAGTTGAACATTTTGGTTGCTTCCTCCTTCTGCCTACTAAGAATTGTATTACTATGAACATTTGTGCCAAAGAACTTGTGTTGACATATTCTTTCAATTCTCTTGGGTAAACACCTAAAAGCAGAAATGGTGAGTGATTCCATCAATAACTTTTGAGGGACCACAAGACTATTGTTCAAAGCAGGTGCACCATTTTATACTCCTACCATCTCTGTAATGAAGGTTCTAGTTCCTCCATATCCTTCAACAATATTTGCTGGTTTTTTTTTTTTTTTTTGACCATCCTAGTGGAAGATGTGAAATGCTATCTCACTGTGGTTTTGATTTGCATTTCCTGATAACTAATGAAGTTCAATTTTAGAAAACCTTATTTGATATACCTGTAAAACATCTACAAAGTACCTAGAAAATCACCTTTCAGTTTAGCAGAAAGTCTAAACTGGAGACAGATCTTGTGTTTACATTTGAGAGTCATCAGTGTAATAATCTAAAAGAAAGCACTTGTATTTGTGGGTGTTTTTTGGCACTGTGGTATTAGATGGAAACTCCTTGGGGCAAGGGAGTCCCCCAAGAATCTCAGATTGTACCATGTGAGTAACTACCTCAATTCACATCCAAGACTAGCCTTGACTTAGAAAATTTTAATCAGGCTTTTCCCACTCTGTGTTATGTCTAGACTCTGATAACAGGAGGAGCCACACAGTTAGTGATTAAAAGTCCCACTTGTGGCTCTGAATGCAATAAAAAAAAAAAAAAAAAACTCTTGCACAATAAAAAAAAAAAGCTTTCACAATAAATAGCCACATGATTTAGTGCCTTTTACTTAACCTCTCAGTTTCCTTTGCTGTATATGAGTAATAAAACATCTTTACTTAATATATACTAAATTGATACTCTGTATATAAAGAGACTTGAAAATGAATCTTGATGCAAATAGAATAGGAGAGGGAGCGGGAGATGGGAGGGTTGTGGGTGGGAGGGAAGTTATGGGGGTGAAAGCCATTGTAATCCATAAGCTGTACTTTGGAAATTTATATTTATTAAATAAAAGTAAAAAAAAAGAAATGGGAAAACAAAAAAAAATGAGTACCTGTATCCTGATTATTGAGAGGAGGAAAAAAAGAAATAGAATGGGGCCAAACACATAGTAGGCATTCGATAGATAATGGTTGTTGGAATGAATGGATGAACTTAGCACAATATCATTCAACTGGTAAGTGTTCAACAATCACCATTAATACTCAATACATGCAAACAGTAAAGATTAATGTGCAGCAGGGGCAAACATTCCAATGCTATCATCAGCCTTTGACCAGAACAACACATAAATGGCAGATGTCTTTATACGTCTTTGCCAGGTGTCTGGCTGTGGACCTGTCAGAAAGGAAGATTCCTGTCCACAGTCACTCAGCTCTTTCAGCCGAGCAAATGTGATTTGTGATCCACCTGCTCATCGTCCTCTTCCATCAAGCCATTTATGGCCCTTACAATTTCATTCTTGATGAGAATGCATAAAATATTATTGGCTCTGTGTGCTTACTGTATTATACATGGAACTTACAATAGACATTATTAAATATTGTTAAGTGAAAGGCTGAATAGGTGCACTAAAATGCCTGCTTGTTGAAAGGATTCATTAACCTTGCTGATGCCATAGAAAGTAACTGCAAAATTTCCCTCATTCCTCTGTGCAGAAATGAAGTTCAGAATTAAGAGCACTGGTCCAGGGTTAGGAGTCTGGCTCAGATACTGGCTCTGGCATTTCCATTACCTTGAAGAAGCCAATTTACTTATTCTGGATGTCAGTTCATCTATGAAATTAGAGGTTAAACATATAGTGTCTTGACTCCTTTCCAGCTCTGGCATTCTTTAATTAAATTTTTAAAAAGAATTTGGTTTAGGATTTATTCCTATTAATCTTTTTCTCCCCTCAGTGAGTTCTCTATTCATTCTGTCTGCTCTGTTTTCAGGTTGGGTTGGATGAAACATTAAACACAGGGAATCTCAAGGTAGAATTGCCTAAATTACTTCTCTCCAGCATAGATGACCCAACTAAGAACAGAGAACTGGAGGAGTAGAGTAAAATAGTAAGGTTGACTAAGAATAAATATTTTGAGCCTAGAAAGTGAGATCAATTGGTATCTCAACAGGTGCATTTCACTTGGCTGGCTGGTCTCCAACTCTTCTACATTCAGACTTAACTATATCTCTGTTTCCAGCTACCCCCATTCCACTTATTTCCTATTCTCCCTTAGCTCTCTGTTACTGCTTTATGGCTCATAACTCTTGTTTTCTGTCTCCTCAACTCCTCTGACATTTTTGCTCCTAAGAAATATAATGGACCTCTCACCTGGCATCATAGGTGCTTGACAGGTGGGTGATGAAAGGAAAAAAGGAGGGGTGATTCAAATTTCTGGTGGGGGACCTGATTCTTTGCCAAGAACCGGTGCTTCTATAAGACACAGGAAGCCAGATAGGTAGAGAAGTCATCTTTAATTAACAAATTTATAAGGCAAACCAAACACATCTATAGTATTTCCATGTTTCAAGTGTTATTTCAAATGAGATCTGCCAATAAATGACTGTAGATATAGATTGAGCATCCTTAATCTGAAAATCCAGAATCCTCCAAAGTCTGAAACTTCTGAGCATCAACATGATGCCATGGTAGCAAATTCCACAGCATAAAACGCTGTTTCATCTTCAAATTATTTAAGATATTGTATGAAAGCACCTTCACTCTGAATGTATAAGACATACATGAAACATAAATAAATTTCATGTTTACATTTGGGTCCCCTCCCCAAGATGGCTCATTATGTATTGGTGAATATCTAAAATGAAAAACAATACACAATATTTCTGATCCCAAGCATTTCAGACAGGAGATATCAGTATAGAAAAATTAATTTTGTGACTGTCACAATTTCTCAATAATAAAGCAGCAATGTTCAAGGCAAGACTTGTCAATGAAAAAAAAAACAATACTAAGAGTCAACCACAGGGTCTAGTATTGTGGCATAGTGGATACAGCTGCCACCTGCGATGTCAGCATCCCATATTGT